TAGCTGTTTTAAATTCAGGAACTGCCTGTCTATATTTAATGCACTTTCAGTTGATTTTTGACTTCCTTACATTCTTGTGCTGCAGATCACTTAGCTCAGATGGCTGGATGGTGTTTGTGATGCAGAGTGATGTCTATTACCATAGGTTACCATGAAGGCCCTGGCTTCTCAATGTCACCCCTCACCGGAGGTGTGGTGATCTTCAGGTTAAACCATCACCAGTTGTGTCTCTCTCCATCTCTCTCGATAGAGAAACTCTGTGGCCCTCTGGGACTGTGGCACCTTTACTCTTGCCCTGCTCACCCTACCAACCCTTCTACCCATCATATTCCTTGCCAATCTTAATTAACAAACTTCCTTATTGTTCACTCAAGAAAGCCAGGTTCAGGTTAAATTGGTTCATTTTGAAAGATAAGTTCATTTAGTTCTGGGGAGGTAGGTATTTTCAAGGGAAGGGATCAGTTTCTAAATTAACCTTGTCATGACCAAAGGCAAGCGAATGAAGGGGAACCATTTCATCCCTCTCATCAGGAAGCTTAATAATTTTGAGATCTATCTGTAACAAATAGGGGAACCTCTCATCCTTTCTTCTTTTGCATTTGCCCATGCACAGATTTTCAACTTTTCTGTTGGCTTCTCAGCCTTTAAGTTTTCTTTATTTCAAGCACCATCACGCTCTCTTCTCAACCTACTCATTCTACCTTCTCTCGTCACTTCCTCAGCTAGTACTCTATCCTTGAACTCACCGTCCAAATATTTTCTACTGCATATTACCTCTATTTCAAGACACTTGGTTTTAAACGTCCATGTGCAGCAACACGTGCATTAATATTTCATGACTAGGTTGCAACATAAACATTCAAAATTCAACATTTACCTGCAGTTCCTCAATCACCTGCAAATGATATTGCAATAGGGCTTTAAAAAAAACGTAAAGACAAGCTAGGTAATATTGGTTGTCAAGCCTAACATAGTTAAATGGTCTGTAAAGTCAGTGAAGACATTAGGGAAAAATCAGCTTCACAGAAAGAACAATACACAAGTGTTTTGTAATATTGCATCACATTTTATGAAAAGAAAATTTGAAAGCAATATACTTTTCCCAAATTAGAACTCCTTTAGTTTGAACACAAAAAGCTAGCTTTATTAATATCACTTTTCATTCCATAACTGCTGCCAAACATAGAACAAATTTTATCTTACCTGCCTTTCAAGATCTTGCCCAGTAATGCCAGACTCCACATGAGCTGTCAAGTTCTTTTCATCAATCCACAATATTCGATTCTATTTTTGTAAGAAATTTAAACAAAGTAATTGCATCTACTTCGGTCCATTAAAAGCCTCTCTTTACATGTGCATCATCTATCAATACTTGCAATTAAACTACATATGATACACAACATTTAACAGTTCTTGTCTTAGTGGGTAAGGTTCCATGTGTGCATGGCAACCTCCAATACCTTAAAAAGTAATTTTTTTCATCATTTGTAGCAATTCTAAGCAGACTTTTTTCAAAATTTTTTATTCATTCAGGGGCTGAGGATGTTGCTGACTCGACCAGCATTTATTGCCTGTCCTTAATTGTTCAGAAAGGAAAGTTAAGAGTCAACCACATCACTATCTGTCTGGAGTCACATGTAGGCCTGATCAATCAGGATAGCAGTTTCCTTCCCTAAAAGGCATTACTGAACCTGATGGATTTTCCTTAGTGGGAACAGGACATGTCTGATCCCACCCAAGATCTAAAATGAGCATTCTTCCAGCAGGGACTACTGATTAAAACAATCAAGAGTAGGAACCACTCATCAATATCGGAGTATAGGGGTTAACTGTAGCAACTGCAACACTACCTTTGGCCAAGATCAGCAGACTTAGCACATACCACAAAGCAAACTTGGGAATATTCCTTTTATTCATGTCTAACTAGTATCATTGTTACTGGTTTAGTCACGGTAAAGCCTCACAGAGTGGTTAATATTACATGTGCTAAACTTTGGATATCTGCATTTGAAACACTTAGTCACACATTAACTTGATCAGAGCCCAAAAGTTGAATTTAACTGTTGTATGTCACTCAGTGCTTGATACCTGAACGGCAAAAGCAGATTTATGATTTTGCAAGAACTTCAGTGTTACTCAAAGAATCAGTCCTGAACTGAGAACCCACTAAATCACCTCTCTTTAAAAGTTTTTGTGACATCGTGAAGTCACAATAGCACAGCTGTCCCAAAAAGAGTCTTCCCAATACAAACTCTGACAAGACTGCCTATGCACATCCACCCTTATTACATCTATCCATCCATCAATCAAGAAAACATTTCACATTTCAAATACAGACTGACTATTTGACACTATTTTTTCTTTTCTAAATGTTCTATTTGGTCCTTTAGCTGGGACTTCATTATTTTTCGTATTTCTGATAAGCCAACTGGTCTCTAATTCCCAAGGCAATTTCTGTCCTCCTGTTCAAATAAAGGAATTATGTTAGCCATAATAATCCACTAGCACACAGTATTTTTAAAATCAAAAATTACTTTAGAAAAGAAGTACTTTACAAATGTATTTTAAAGAAAGTGGATGTAATCCACCTGGAAGCAAGGCTTCATCCTCTGTGGCTTGCATTGTTATTCAACACATTCCCTTTTTATTTTCAAAGATCTGATTCCTCATCGTATCGTTGTAGGTTATGTATACCTGGTCTATCTCCCTGGTAAATAAAAGTGAAATAATTGCTCTATTACCACCCATGGCATTATCTTGTCTATTCCATAATGGATTTATTGCCATTACAACTTTCACTTTTTTGATGTTCATGTAAAATATTTTGACGTTTTGTTGATATTTGGCTTGATAATTTAGTTTCATACTACCTTATTGCCTTTCTAGTTTTTTTTTACTTCTATCTCAAAATACTTCACTTTCTTATTTACGTACTTTTAAAATTCATTCATGGAACGCGGGCATCACTGGCTGGGCCAGCAATTATTGTTTGTCTCTAACTACTCTTGGGAAGGTGGTGGTGAGTTGCCTTCTTGAACCTGTGCAGTTCATTTGGAGTAGGTAGACCTACAATGCGGTTAAAAGAAGAGATTCCAGAATATTGAACCAACGACACTGAAGGAGCGGTGATATATTTTGAAGTTTGGCTCCTCTGGTGCATGCCTGGAGCTTCAGTGAATTCTTGTAGGGCATCTTGTGAACGTACACAATATTGCTAGTCAGCATCAATGAAGGAGAGAATGAATGTTTATGATGTGATGCCAATGAAGTGGGTTGCTACGTCCTGGATAGTGTCAACCTTCTTGAATATTGTTGGAGCTGTAAAATCCAGGCAAATAGGTAGTACTCCATCTCACTCCTAACTTGTGCCTTGTTGATGATGGTCAGGCTTTGGGAGTCAGGTGGCAAGATACTTGCTACAATATCCCTAGCCTCTGACCTGCTCTTCTAGTCACGGTACTTGTACGGCTAGTCCAATTCAGTTTCTGGTCAATTATGATACCCGGGATGTTGAGTGAAAAATTCAATGATGGTAACGCCATTAAATGTCAAAGGGCAATGGTTCGGTTATGCGCTGTTGGAGATGAAGCAGCTGAAGATGGTTGGACTCACGGTACGATTCAGAGGAATTCCTGCTGAAATGTCCTTGAGTTGAGATGACTGACCAACAACCACACCATTTTTCTTTACAGAAGGTAAAGTGTCATATCCTAAATAAATCCAGTCCCACTTGCCAGCTTTTGGCCCATATCCCTCTAAACCCTTCCTATTGATATACCCAGCCAGACGCCTTTTGTGTGTTATTATTGTACCCGCTTCCACTACTTCCTCCGGCAGCTCATTCCATTAACCCTACCTTGTGTGAAAAAGTTAGGTCAGGTCCCCTTTAAATCTTTCTCCTCTCACCTTAAACCTACGCTCTCTGGCTTTAGACTTCCCCCATCCCGGGGAAAAGACCTTGGATATTCACCCTATCCATGCCCCTCCTCATGATTTTATAAACCTCTACAAGGTCACCCCTCAGTCTCCGATGCTCCAGGGAAAATAGCCCCAGCCTATTCAGCCTCTCCGTATAGCTCAAATCCTCCAACCCTGGCAACATCCTTGCAAATCTTTTCTGAGCCCTTTCAAGTTTCACAGCATCCTTCGTATAGCAGATCTAACCAGTCGAATTTTTCCCTTGATTCTCCAATTGACTTCAGTTTTGCTAGGGCTCGACACCAACTCAGTCAAATGTAACCTCAAATTCAAGGGCAGTCATTTTCACCTCACCTTTGGAATGCAGCTCTTTTGCCTAGGTTTAAACCAAGGCTGCAATGAAGTCAGGAGCTGAGCGGCCCTGGCAGGATCCAATCCAAGAGTCACTGAGCAGGTTTCTGCAAAGCAAATGCTATTTGATAACACCTTCCATCACTTTGTAGATGAGGCCATAGACTAATGGGCAGTCATTGGCTGTGTTAGGTTTTTCCTGCTTTTTGAGTACAGGACATACCTGGGCAATTTTACACATTGTTGGGGAGATGCCAGTGTTGTGGCTGTACTGGAACAGTTCAGCTAGGAGTGCAAGCTGTGGAACACAAGTCCTCACTCAATACTATTGTCAGGGCCCACGGCCTATGCAGTATCCAGGGCCTCCTGTCATTTCTTGACATCATGTGGAGTGTAGTGAATTGGCAGAAGACCGTCATCTGTAATGTTGTGTCATGTTCTGGCTAAAGACTGAGCAAACGCTTCAACCTTATTTTTTGTGCTGATGTGCTGGGTTCGCCCACGATTGAGGATGGGGATATTTGTGGAACCTCCTCTGCCAATGAGTTATCTCACCATCGAACACCATTTGTGACACGATGAAGCAGGACAGCAGAGCTTGGATCTGATTTGCTGGTTTGGAATCCTCATCTCTGTCTACTACTTGCTGCTCATGCTATTTGTCACCCAGGTAGCCCAGTTTTGTTATTTCATCAAGTTGACAGCTCACTTTTAAGTGCACCTGCTGCTGCTCTGACATGCCTTCCTGCACTCTTCATTGAACTAGGGTTGATCTCCTGGCTTGATGGTAACAGTAGAGTGGGGTATATGTTGGGCCACAAAGTTACAAGTTGTGATGGAGTACAATTCTGCTGATGATCACACTGCAACATTGATTTCAACTCAAAACTGAGCATCAATCTGGTTTAGCATGGTGATAGAGCCACATAACACAATGGATGGTATTCTCAGTGTGCACATCTCCACAAGGACTGTGCAGTGGTCACTCTTACCAATACTGTCATGGACAGATGCATTGTCTCCAAGTCTCCAAGCAGATATTTAATCCAATATTTTAAATTTAGTTCTAAGACAGCAAAAATTTGGAAATATCAAGGTCCTACAGACAACAGTGACAATAATAAAATAAGACGTTTCAGTGATATTAGTTGAAGGATAAATATTGGGCAGGGCCCAAGTAGGGATAACCTATTTGCAAAAATACAAATGCCATACAATCCATCCAAGAGGGTAGAAAAGGCCCGCGTCCAACATTTCATCTGAAAGGTGGCACCTCCAACATTACAAGCACTGGATTGTCAGTCAAGATCTTTTGCTCTTGGCTCTGAAGTGGAGGTTGAACCTGTGACCTGCAGACACAGATAATTGTGCTTCCATCAAACCACATCAGCTCAAAGTCTCAAATGGACAATGGAGTTTGAAGGGCCATAATGGCTACAGAAACAAATTTCAGATAAGAGGTTGTCTAGTTGTTCTGTGAAAATTCAAATTTACTTGGGTTTTCCTCTTTCAAAAATGAGATAATACTATTTACTAATGAATATTAACTTCAGAAAATGTCATGCTTTAAATGGAAAATTAAACTTTTCTGGAGAATTTCTCACAAGCATAACCCTTTCAATTTTTGCAATAATTAAACCATTCATTCTTTAATTCAACTTTTCTTGAATGAATGATTTATTTATTATCACTTGCATTTTACAATGAACAATACAGTAAAATACAGTGAAAAGCTTCAACCAGCGCCACAATCCAGCACAGTTTTGGATAGTTTTAGAATAAAACAGATAAAAGATACAACTGAAAGAGTCTGAGCCCTCAGCCAGTTCATCAACAACATCTGCACTGCCACCCCTCCTCCATCATCCCGATGCCACCTGCGCCAGACCAACGTAGGAGTTGCCACTCTTTAGGTGCCATCTCTGCTGCTGGGCCCACCTCACAAACACTGGGTCCCATGCCAAACCCACACTTGCTCCAGGCATACCACGCTGCCGCTGCCACGCCAACACCAG